GGGGGGTGGGGTAGGGGATGGGAACTAGGGGTGCGGTTCTTGTGGGGTAGAACGGGGCTGGGGGTTCTCACTAGATTTTGGGCGCGATGAAGTGGATCTTCTCACAGTTCTTGTCCGCCACGACCGAATCGTTAGTGGCCCGCGTGTCCGCGCCCAGGATGACCCCGTCCTGGGGAGGGGAAAGGAGGCTGTTGGCTCAGGGCCTGCCCATCCCCGCCCGCCTGGCTAAGCCTCCCGGCCCCGACCCCACACTCACTCGGAACACAAGGCCCGCGATGGTGGTCCCGGTCTTGCGGGCATGAGGGGCCCGCAGTTCCGGGAGGGCGCGTTCCAAGGCTGCGTTTCTGGAAAAGGAAGAGAGTGGCCCATGTTTCGGTTTTTCTGGGACCCCCTTCACATCCCCAACTCCGTCCCGGGTGCCCTCAGCTCCGGGGTAAGCCCGGGAATCCAAGCCGCCCACCACTGGCTATCTTCCTCTCACGTGCTCCCACCCCTGGCACCCTCCGCCCTTCGCCACCAGGAATACAGGGCCCTCGGGGCTCCCACGCTCAGACGACCTGACGGGGAGTGCAGGCAGCTCCTGACGGGGAGTGCAGGCAGCTCCAGACCAGCCATCCCCCACCTCACCTCTGGCAGTTCTCGAAGGAGAAACCCCCTCGGGGTTCTAGCTCTGTTTGCAGCATCGTAGGATGGTCAGGGACTGGGTGGTCGCTGGTGAAAGGAGTGGGACCAGCCGGGAGCAAGAAAAGCAGAGGCCTGTTCTCTGCAGGGCTCCACGTCTGACGCTTCCTGCTTTCGCTTTCACCTTAACTTAGAGGACGCCGGCTTGTCGTGCATCTCTTTCACTTTCACCTCTGGTCCCAAGCAGCTTGGGAAGAGGATGATGCACCTTGCCTGGCTCTCCAGGATGCTCCTAGGTCCTCCGAACAAAGGGACAAACCCCTTCCTTCTGGCCATTGTTCAGCTCCTCCTCCCCCTTCCAGTCTGAGCCCCTAGTTCTGCCTCTGATCCCAACTCTAACTTCAAGTCCCAGCACGTTAAGGCTGTTGGACCCTTTGCCAGGTCTCTGTCTGCCTTATCACAGGCCTCCCAGCAGCATAAGGCCTGGCCTTTTGTCCTTAGTTACCCTCCTTTACCCAACTTCTGCCTGTCTTTTGTTCCTTTGTTTCCTATCCAGACACCTCAACATGGAGGCTCAATCATGCTGGTCCTTTCATCTTCCTTATCTCAGATGCTGTCTTTCCTCTCTCAAGAGGGGCCTGGTGGTTGTCCATCTAGTGGCTTGGAGGCATGCTGGGCTCAACCCATGGCCAAGCCTTATTTCACCTCCCAGATGACCCTTTGTCTATCCACATCTTTCACCTAACTACTGCTTAGTCTCAGCTAGCATCCTGTCTCCTGGCTACTACACTGGCCTCCCTGGATTCCCCATACTTCCTGGCCCACCTTCCCCTGCAGCTCTACCCTGCATAGAAGGAATCTGGTACACTCTCCCTCGTTAAAGCAAGTGCACACTGCTCTTAGGCTCAAACCCAAGTCTTTTCAGTGGCCCATGTTACCCTTCTCAGACTACTTGCCTCCATTAATAATTCAATCTTCATTAGCTAAATGATCTGATTAGTGGCTGTCACTCCCCCAGAATCTAATCTTTTGTACTTCTGCCACCCACCTGCACTCAAAAGGTCCTGTCTAGAGGTGGGGTCTTGCCTCCCCTTTTGAAAGCTGAGGGACAGCTCAGATCTTACCCATCCTAAAACCTTGATTCCATGTGCCCCCATCCCACAGCTGTGTGTGCAGCTGACCTGTCTCCATGCCCAGAGCAGAAGCAGGCACAGAGACAGGCTGCCTTAAGAGCTCAAGCAAGAGAGCGGGAAGCTGTACATCTCAGGATGGCTAGTTCAATGCTAGGTTTTAGCCAAGCTCCTCTTGCCCTATTCTCCACAAGGCACCAGGCCTGCAGCTGCTGATAATGAATCCTGGTGTGTGAACCCTAGTCTCCCCCTCAACCCACAACAAAGATCTCAAGGCTTACAGCAGCAAAGGATGATCTTTATTCAGGGGGCGGGGTCCCTGGGCTAGCAGCTGTGGGTACAGAGGTGCTATGTCGGTAGGTACCCAGCAGGATGTCATTGATGTGCTCTAGTGTCTGATTGCTGAAGACCATGTTGAGGTGCTCTGTCCCGTTCAGAGGCAGCAGGTGCACAGGCTGTGGCTGGAGGCCCTTCCATTGGGCACAGAGCTCACTGCTGCGTGTGGCCACAGTGTCATCGCCATCCTCATGGAGCATGCTCACGGGGTCTGTGTAGGGGAAGCCATGGTCAAAGATGTAGGTATGGGGCGTGGGCAGACCCACGCCATACAGACAATACACTTCTACACCAGGTGCCGGGAGTCCTGCCAGCAAGCTACGTGACTGTAGCCACATGTACCAGCCGTCTTCAAAGTACAGGTCTTCAAAGAAGCGCTGGAAGTCACGGCCTGTGTAGTTGAAGCTGGGTGTGGAAATGAACACATGGTCCTCAGGCCATACCCGGTAGTCGGGAAACATCCAGGGGGACGTTGTTGTTATGCGCTGCTTCTGTTTCAGCCTGATGCTGGACATCATCGGGATGCCCTGGTTGTCACCTGTGGACATGGAGCAAGGTGGGCAGGAAGCCAGAAAAGGCTGCCCCTGGCCTACATCTTGCTGCCCAGCTCAAGCTCAGCTGGATGCTCATTTTTGTCCCAGCCTAATCTAAACATTGACTCCAAGCCAGACTAGAGCAAGGCCAGCAGCATTCAGTAGGTACTTAATGTGTGCTTATCCTATATAGTAAAAGGCTAATATTAACATGCAAACAGGCCGAACTGAACAACTGGTCGCTATGATGTGCGCAGACCACCAGGGGGCATGCATGGAACATAGCGGGCGTCGGCAGCAGGTGGCAGAGCGCAGAACATGGCAGGCATCTGCCGTGGCGGAATGGTGGAGCAGGTGACCAGGGGCGCCAGACCAAGGCGGGGCGCCAGTTGCTGTCATCGGGGCGAGCCTCTGGTGGTTACTGAAAATTTTTTGCTCCCATGTGCCGCGGTCCCACTCAGCACTCGCACCCACTGCCAGTGCCCAGCGCCGGTCCTGATCACCCCTGAGGGATTCTCCACCTCCTCCTGCTATTGCCATCAGTGGGTGCAAGCGGGGCCAGCGCTGTCAGTGCATGGGAGCTGCGGCAGCAGGAGCAGGGCTGCAGGCAGACAGGACGGGGGAGGGGGGAAGGGGCGAGGTGGGAGGGGCGGAGGATGCACTGAGACCCGCCCCTGTGCCCACCCCAGCCTCACAGCTCACAGTTCCTTTCAAGGTGCATGAATTCGTGCACTGGGCCCCTAATTAAATAAGCCCGGATACTGCTGTGAGGCAGAGCTGTAGGGCCTCAAAGGAGGACAGGGGGTGTTTTCCTGAGGATGGATGTGTATGTGTCAAAGGTGGGGGATAATGCTGGGAGTTCTCAGTCAAGTATCTGTTGACCCTGTAGTCTACGCTGCACAGGGGTCAGGAAGGGTGACACAAGACCGTGTCTGTATTTGACACTAACTAATGTAGTCTGAAGAGGGTTTTCCTTCCTTCCCCAACAGGGAAGACTGAGTTTGGCTGGGCCCAGCAGACAGTGGGTGCACAACAGGTGGTAAATATGCCACTCCCCAGGGAAGGGCAGGAGGGGCTCCTAGGGTCTGGCCCTGGCTTTGGCAAATCTTCAGTAGGGCATATCCCTGGGCAAAGGAGCTCCTGGAAGCAGAGGCAGCAGAAAGCTGGGTGGGTAGGACCTGAGACTACAGGAACAAACCTGGGATAGTGAGCCAGACTACTTGGGTTCATTTTCTGTTAAACTCTCACTTTTTCATCACTAAGACTGATTTTGGCAGGAGCCACTCTAATGGTCCAGGCCAGGATCACTACTCTTGGGGGGCCAATGACAAGGGCCATGCCCCATGGGTGGTAGACCACACCCCCAACCTGGCATTGTGAGCACAGGCCCCCGGTCAGCTTTATTCCATCCCTCAATCCCACCACAGGATGCAGGTGAACTCACCTGAGGCCAAGACCAGCATGGGCTTGATGGAGCCACCCCAGGGAGCCCCAAGAGAGATGAAGCCATCAATGAAGCGATCCTTCCAAGACTGGGGTTGGCGCAGCAAGAAATAGAGCAGGTGCAGGCAGCCAAGACTGTGCCCAATGAGGAAGACAGGCTTTCCATAAGTAGCATACATCTCTTCCACCAGCCCAGAGAGCTTCTGGTGGTACTCCTCCTGTTGGTCTGTGGAGGGAGGAGGGTGACTTGGGTCAGGGCAGTGGGGGTTAGGGGCCACCGGCCCTGCCACGAGCCCATCATCTGCAGAGACACTCACTGGGCTCCAGGCGCCAGTCATAGGGGGCAGCCCGCACTGTCTCATCCCGCACGTAGCCATTGTTGACCAGATTCTGCACCAGGGTGTTCATGTAACCTGTGGGGGAGGCAGCAGCATTGGGGCTCTGGCCATGGCTCCTACAGGCCCACCGCGGCCTGGAGCCCCACCTTTCCCCCTGCCACACACCTGCCAGCTTGTTTTTGTCCAGGTACTCAACAGAGTAGGTCTTGCCAAAGCCAGGGACACGGATCTGTACACCGGGGGCATTGGACACACGCCCAGAGCTGCGGTTGTAGACAACCCTGCGGACAATGGGAAAGTCAGCAGGTCAGCAACCAAGAGGCAGGGTGAGGGGGCTGGGGCGGAGAGGATGGCCCGTACCTGGTGTTATCGATCCAGCAGTCTACTCCAAGGGGTAGGAACATAGTGATATCCAGAAAGATGGTGAAGAAGTCCTCTGTTTTGCGGTAGCACATCCAGTTCACCACATCTGGTTTATCCAGTTTGGCTTCCAGCTGGTTCCCCAGGCAGCCAGGCACTGCGGGCACTAGCCTTCACTCTGGGTTCCTTGGATTTCCCCCGTGATTCCCATCCCAGCCTCACACCCACCCTCCACCACTGCAGTGACCAGCCTACATTTCCCACACCCTCAACTCCCAGGGACGAAGGACACAATCCTCTTTGTAATCATTCTCCCACCTATCCCCCCAGCAGTGCAAAGGCCAGGCTCCCCTTAGGCAGGAAAAGGGCAGAGGCCAGGGCCACTGACCTCTGCCCTCGCAAAGCAAACACCTAGCCTGGCTTTCCATTACTGCTGAAGTCCAAGGTGAGAACAAATAGGTATGGGGATGTGGGGGCTGGGCCTGGGAATAGGGGGACAGGCCTTGATGGGCCTTTCCTGCTCTCCTGAGCTGAGCATCTTGTCCTTGCTGGGGTGAGGGCTGAGGAAGGAGCGGTGGGGCTTAGCCCAAGGTCCAATGGCTGCAGCTAATACCCTGGCCAAACCCTCAGGCACACACACACACACCCCCACTCCACCCAGCTGGGGTAGATAACTTAGAGACACAGGAACAGTGTAGTGGAGGGAAGGGGTTGACTTCTCTGCAGGTCAAGCCTTTGGCCCCTCTGACCACTGAGGCAGGTATCAGGGCTAATACAAGGGCAGAGGGCCTTGACAGGGTTGACTACCTGGGGCTAAGGCCCGGGCTCCCCAAGGTCTGGCCTGGTGCATCAGGGGCCTGGTGGGGGCTTACCGAGGATGATGGGCCGTGTGTGGTTACTGAGCTCAGCCTTGGGCGTGGTTTGCGGGGGGAACAGCACATTGAGGAGCCAGAAGGAGGCGGCAGGGGGGAATAGCAGCCCCAGCAGCAGCACCCACTGCCATGGGGAACCGGGCAGCCCCATTCCAGCCCTAGTGCCTACTGCCCAGTGAAGCAGTCTTGGGCTGGCCTTATCTGGAGTGGCGGTGGGAGGGGCCCCGGGGCCAGTGGGAGGGACAGTCTAGCCAATGACTATGGCCAGAGGTTGTGGGGAAAGGGGCACAGCCTTGGAGCTGGAGCAGGCTCTGGGCCTGGGTTCAGTTCCGCCTTTTTCCCTTGGCGCCAGGGGAAACAGAGCTCGGGCAGCAGGAGGCCCAGAAGTACACAATGTTTTATTGAAAAAAGTCAGGCTTCAGCTGGCTGGCTCCATTAAGCTCAGCTTGGTGGGGGTCCCTGCCCACAGTAATCTGAGCCAGGACTTCCTGCAGGCGGGCTGGGTAGGACCCCCTCCCTCGTCACCCCTCCCCTTCTCTCTGATGGTGACATCCCAACAATAAATATTCAATAAATAGCGTTCCTGGGCTGGCTGCCTTCAAACCCAATGTCAGCCCCCACCAGTCTTCTCCAGGCCTCCCAGGATGCTGATCGGGGGGGCCGGGGGTGGGGGGAGTCCTTTAACCTCTTAGGGTCCTGTAGGACCCTGGATCCCTCTCCATGGCCAGGCCCAGGCCCAATCTCCAAAGCTGGGTCTAGGGCAGGGCCAGGCAAAGCAGGACTGGCAGATGGGTGCTAGAGGGGGTGTTACCCTGAACACCTCCACTCTAGGCCACAGTCTCTATCGGGCTCAGGAGTAGATGGTGATGACTTCACGGCCACCGCCACGAACCAACAGCACCCGCTCGAGGCCCTCAGTCAGCACCTCCAGGAACTCCATGTCTATAGGTCATCAGGTCAAAGAAACAGCATCAGGACCAAGGGTACCCAGGAAGTTTGGGCATCAATCAGAACTGGGGTGACTTGGAACACACCCCCAGAAGCACTCAGAGTAACCTCACAGGCTGTCCACCTCCTCACTGCTGGCCTCTCCACAAAAGGATACAGTTTTCATCACCCTCACTGTTCTTGGGTGGGCCGGGCATGTTCAGCAGGACCAGGCGGGCATCGTGGGAGCGTGTGACGATGACTTCATTGAGCTTCACGGCAGTGTGCATGCGCCGCACATTGGACTGGTCCCTGCAGGTAATGCAGCTGATCATGGGCCCTACCCACAGAGCTTGTCCACCCTTCACCCCGGGCCCCGATGTGGCTGGGTCTATTTTTGTGGCACTCACGGCTTAATATGCACCAGTTCTCGGAAGTTGTCAGGGGCATGGCTGGGGTCCCAGGGCTCAGCTGCCATGTATTTATCCCGTGTCCATGTCATCTGGATCTTGTCAGTCCCAGCTGCAGACTCATCCTCCTCATCAGAGTACAGGCTCTCCAGCCTTAGGGCTGAGTGCCGGTCCTTGACCAGCTGGGCCTGCAGAAAATGAGAGAGGAGGTAGCCTCAGTGGCAGGGAAGAGAGGACCTGGCTGCAGGGACTCGGGCACCGACATTCCGATGCCTCCGTCCGATGGTGTCTCCAAAGGCCTGACCCAGCCCCCTGCCCATGCCCTTAACTAGGCCACTGACTTCTCGCTCCCGCTCAGTCTTGGTCAGCCTCATCTGCCGCAGCATCTGGGACCGCTGCTCCATCATCAGTGTCCGCTCATAGGTATACGCGGAGATGTCGCTGTTGTGCTGGGGAGAGGGTGGGCCATGAGAACTGGGCTGTGCGGGGCAGGGTATCCACAGGGCCACATCGGGGTGGGTGGCTCACCATCTCCACCACCTCCACCTCTGCCTCAAGGCGTAGGTGGTACAGGAAGACGGCCAGATCCTTCTTCATCTGGATGCTGTTGTCATCCATCTGGGCCACGGTGAAGATGCGCATCCGGCACTTTCTCCAAACCTATGGCAACGGAGCAGTTGGGTGTTTCAGTCACACCCCACCGATCCAAGGGCCCAGCCCCCTCACCCAGGTGCACCCCCCTGGCATACCTTGTGCTGGCGCAGCAGGAAGGGTAAGAGCATGAGCATGCCGCCATCATGCACGATCCACCACACGTCAATGTGGCCCTCCAGGTAGCGCTCGTGGTTGCTGGGGTAGAAGGCAATGTTCTTGGGCACAAGCAGGGCCAGGTGGGCAGCTGTGGTGCAGCGCACGGTGTCTGGGGAGGAGGGACACTGCTGACTGCCAGCCTGCAGCCCTGCTTTCACTTGAGCCCCAGCCCGTCCCCATGGCTGAGCCCAGATCCTGGCCCCTTACGCACCAATGAAGGTCTTCCAGGCACGTGGGTCCTCGCTCTGTCGCCAGCCATAGGGCCAGCCCAGCACCACGGAGTTATGCCTCATGCCGCCCAGGCCGCAAGACTGGATGAGGTGGGCCAGCCCCTCACGCACCTTGTTGGCTACCACCACCTGGCAGAAGCCCTTTACCTTCTCAATCTCCATCATGTTCTTGATTGTCTGGGGGGAACACACCAGGCTCAGAAGTCAAGGCCATCAGCATCCCCTCTGCTGGGGGCGGGGAAGGGGAGGAGGCAAGCTGCCCACCCAGAGGCCATGTTTTTAAGATGGGACAGCCACCCTGGCTTCAGCTCTTAGGTGGCAGCACTGCTGTCCACCTGGCTGGCCAGAACTGGTCCCCTCCCCTATGTGCCAGCTGTAGCCTGGGCACTGGAGTCTGGCTCAGCTCTGTGCCCCCTGCGGCAGGCACCTGCTCAGCAGCCTGGGCCTCGCCATAGCTCTCCAAGAAGCTTCCCTGGATGACAGAACCAACGATGGTCAGGCCCTTGCCGGCCTTCAGCTGAGAGGCGAAGGTGAGGAGCCGTGGGTACTTCACGTGAAGGTCCTCGTCCAGCTTCAGGAGCACCAGCAGCTGAGGCCTGCAGGAGCCAGACAGTGAGGCAGCCTGAGACCAGGGCAGAGGTTTCCAAGGAGCCACGTTTCTTCTTTCCCTCTCAATTCACAGGCTCCCACAGGTTTGGGGAGCAGAGATCCAAGGGCACCCCTGGCCACCCCAGGATGGGGAACATGGATCAGGAAGGGGAGCCAGCACCTCTCGACTGTCCCACCCTCAGAGTGCCCCCTGAGAACCTAGAGTGGCCTTTGCCAGTCTGGGTGTGAACTCACCGCCAGTTCTTGGTGTGAGGAGGCCCCTCCTCTAGCCGCAACAGTGCATAGCGGGCAGCACTCAGGGACAGACCTCGGATCCCGTCACCCCATTCCTTCTCAGCCCTACAGAGGCCACCGTCAGTTGGTGAGCCCCTGGTCCCACTCAGGGGACTCTGTCCAGGTGTAGTGAGATGGAAGGGGGCCAGGCCCTGAATCAAAGCCCCCCAACCTCCCAGCCCCGCACCTATGGTGGCTAGAGGATGGCTCAGCTTCCCCCAACCCAACATACAGATCACCCCACCTGCCCCGACCAGGTGGCAACCCCTCACTCACCCTTGGTACTCAATGTACTTGTAGATCATGCCCGCAATGAGCATGGCGACCAGGGCATAGTACCAGGAGGAAACAAACATAAGGGTCAGGCAGAGGCTCATGCCCAGGAAAGACAATGCCCTGGGCCAGAGAGTGGGGAAGAACAAGAATCAGGGAAAAACCAGTATGGCCCCAGCCCAAGCTCCCCAGCCCCCCAATTTCTCACCAATAGCAACTACAGCCCAGGAAACTCAAACCCCATCCTGAATGGGTCTCCTGGCTTCCCCATAGCATTTGTCAGAGGACTTGGTTCAGGAGACCAGTTGGTGCTCACCAGTGATAGTACTTGAACCGGGGTCGCCAGTTGGGGGTCCTCAGGAGCGTCTGCACAGCACAGGCCAAGTTCACAAACAGGTAACACATCAGAAAGAACCTGCACCACAGGGGCTGGTTGGTACAGAGGCCTCGTTGGCAGCCAGGTACCTGATGTTCCTGCCATGCCTGGGCTGAGCCAGGTGCTTACAGCCTCACAGCACCCATTCCCATGCCCGAGGCAGATGGGGCTACTGCACAGGTGTCCTCAGAGCCAGGGCTTAGGCAGGGGTGAGGGACCCTTTTTTCTGCCAAGGGCCATTTGAATATAACATCATCCGCTTACTATTATTCACTTAATATAATTTATGTTGCTATGAAAAAAGCTGCTAGATTTATTGAACGTCGAGTCCCACCTGCGGTTGCCTTGGCAAATGATTTCACTGCCAAATGATTTTGCAGGCCTTATACGGCCCATGGGCCAGACGTTCCCCACCCCTGGCTTAGAGGACAGGCAACTATTCACAGGCAGAGGAGGCAGGGGAAGAGCGAGTGTAGAGCTGTGAGAAAGGACGGGACCTAGGAGAGCTCAGTGTCTGGAGATGGAGGGGCCACACAATTTTCAGGCCCCTGGCCTGGTGACCTGTTGGATTAGGGGCTATCATGAATGTGGGGAGGAGAAGGTAGGGAGAAGATAATGAGGGCCAATTTGAAGACACTGAATTAGAGACACTTGAGGAAACTGTAGGAATGAAGGAGACTGGGACATGGGCGAGGCCTGTTGTGTGAACCCTCTGGGAAGAGAGCTGAGGAGCAGAGGGCTAACAGGAGGGGCGCCAACTTCTACCCTCAGCTGGCTGGAGAAGGACAGACAAAAAGACAGAAGGACTGGGACTCCCATGAAGGGGAGTGGTCAGTCCCAGCAGGGCTGCCCCAAAGAGCCCCATGATAAAGACTGAGCTATGCCCTAGCCAGTTTGGCTCAGTGGACAGAGCATCATCCTGTGGACCAAAGGGTCCCAGGTTCGATTCCAGTCAAGGGCACATACCTCAGTTGCAGGCTCCTCCCCGGCCTGGGCCCTAGACAGGGTGCATGCAGGAGGCAACCAATCAATGTGTTTCTCTTCCATCGATATTTCTCTGTCTTTCCCTCTCTCTAAAAATCAATGGAAAAATATCTTCGGGTGAGGATTAAAAAATAATAAATAAAGACTGAGCTAGATCCTCTGGCTTAGGGAGTGAGGAGTCACCACCCAAGACGACTGTGGCAAGAACAGATTCAGTGTGCGCTATACGTGTGGGTGAGGCTGGGCAGCAGTGGGTGGAGGTGTGTTGGGGGGAGACAAGAGGTCACTGTGGCCTGGCTGTGGCTGGGAGGTGGCTGCGTCCAGGCGGAAGGGGGCCTGTCAGGCCTACAGGCTGAGTGGGGCAGTGAAAGGTAGTCTCATCATACGCAAACAAGCCAGAGAGAGCATTGGCAGTGGAGTAAGATGTGTGAGGAGAGATGGAGTGGGCCCCAACAATGGCAGCAGTGAGCACAGCAACCACATGAGCTGTCTCAGGGACCCCTGGAAATTGCCACATGCTGACCACTTCCTGAGGGCACTGGCAGACTCAAATGCTCAGTTGATTCCAGAACTTTAAAAGCAAACAACTCTGAAAACAGATGGATAGGGCAACGGTGGTTTCATCAAGGTGCCAGGGACTGGGTGCTGGCCCTGTCCAGGAGTGGAGAGTAGCTACCTGCCGGCTCTGGGAGTCTCTCACAGAGGGTGTAGGACCTGTTGTCTCTTCTGCATAAATATCAGGCTCATTCCTAAATGCAGAGCTAGGCTGAGCTCTGCCAGGCAAACAGCTGCCCATACACCCTGACATGTGTCCCAGCTGCACGCTCAACGCCAGACAGGGTCACAGGGAGGTGCCGGGGCCCCTGGCTCATGGGGTGCTGAGGGTTCAAGGAGCCTTTCCTAGGACCATCCCTCTGCCCTGCCCTGGCCCCAGCTC